TTAAATAAATTCATTTAACATAAAACCGTTTATTCCGTACTTACCATTACGAGCTTTCAAAATCGACCTATAAGGATAATAACTCAAATAACATTATGATTTTACATAAAAGTGAGCAAAAATAGTAAATTTTTTTTTACCTACTTACTAGTACTTCTAGGGGTTCATAAGGATATCCCTCTATACGTGAACCTACTATCCAAATTTTGTCAATTAACTAGTCGTGCCTATATCCCGTCAAGTAATGAGTGCCAAACACTATTGTCTTAATACTCCGTCCGGTATGGGAGTGAATCATATCTCTTAAACCCTTCCAGTATGGGACTTCTCAAGTCCGTCCGACTGAGATAATACCCACAGTAGGGTTTCCTATTATTGGGTCTGTCTACCATTTTCTAGAGTACCTAGTAAGTCTTTCATACATACATTCACACTATTAACTAATTACCAGTACCACAGCAATATCTCATATTTACAGATCAATAGTAAGTCATCCAAATAGACGATACGTACATCAAGAAAACACGATTAAGACATTTATTACAAAACGAATCAACAAATGAGCGCTATGCAGTTAGGTGAACTAAATAACCGAGAAAACAATTGAAACTAGCAATTTAATGCACACAATGTAGTAGTAAACATTTTAAATAGTACATGAGAAAATAAACAGTAAACTAAAGCAAATATAAACAGCCGATTTTGACTTTATTAGTGACCTGTAATTATTTTTAGAATTTTCTAATTTCCATAAAATACAGTATTATTAATTGTTAAGTTACTGTAACAAGAAAAATGGTGAGAAATTCTTACTCTGGATCGGTGTCCGAAGTACTGCACTTTCTACTGCGCCTCCTAGCGGTCCCTAGGTTTCTTGAATTTTTTCTACATAAATTAAAACACTTGTCACGTACTCAAAATTATCCCAAAAGTCCAAAATAGGCATTTTAAAACATTTTCAACTGATTTTTAGGGTTCCCACATGGTGGCGCCTTTGTTCTCCAGCACTAGCTCCGTCGTCCACGACATCAGTTCGCATCGGTTTGGCTTATTTTGACCGATTTAGGTCGATTTTACCTGGTTTTACACGTAAACCTATGAAAAAATGAGTTAGGAGACCTCGGTTAGCCGAAAAAGGTAAAAAAATGAAACGTATTAGGGAGGTCTCTGGGTGTGACAGCTCTGTTGGACTTCTTCGCGACTGGGGTCCTTCTTCGACTAACCAGCACCAGAGAAGGACGGTGAACATGATGGTCAAAAAATCACACAAAATGAAAAATGGAAAAGGGGTCATCGGAGAGGGTTTTAGGTTTCGGCTGCAGCGACTCGGTCGAGCTTTGCCTACAGTTTTTGACTCACCCATCGACCCTTTGTCATCACACAATTCTCCTCGGCTCGATTTCCCTTCCTTCCCCTTCCCTTTGGCTTCGGATTCCATAACGCTCCTGCCTCCGCTTTTTCCTCTTCTTCGACCTCCTCTCACCCGATCAGCTCTCTCATTCTTTCTCTCATTTTCGGCTTTCCCTTTTAAAATGAAGAATAAACCCTAAATTTTTCCTTAAATACTCACCTCCTTGGCCGTTGGATCTTGCAAGGCTTGATCTGGGCCGTTTAACCTGAATAGAATCCCAGCTGTTGGATCCCTTAGACGTTTCGATCAAGACCGTCCATCTCCTGATTTCTTTTTGTCCACTTCCACTTCTATTTAACTATGCTTTTACCCCCTTTTTCTTACCCGTTTTCATTTAGGTCTTTAAAATTAATAAAAACTCCCTAAATTTTAAAATTCCTTTCATTTAGATCCTAAATCCCAATTTAATTGTTTGTTTGCATACCCTTTTATTTTATTTAGGGTCCGGATATTACAATGATTATGAAGAAGGCTCAATTGGCTTGGAAAATAAGTAAATTGTCCATCTGAATTTAATTTTTATTAGTAATACTCTGAAAAATAAACTTCAAAATGCATTCAATTCAGTTTTGTGTGAAAAAATTAATAATAATAATCACACAATACTTTTATCATAAAAAGAAAAGGTATGGGGTGATAAAATTTACTTATTACAATTTTCTAAATTATTTTAAACCTAATTTTTTTTATAAAATAGGAAAAATTCTTTTTCGCTTGAATAATATAAAATTAACTTGGAAACTAATACCTCTCTTTTCAGTTTGTAGTTTTAGCTTTATTTTCTTGAATATTTTATAACGGATTAATATATCAACAATATCTTATGTCGGTTTCGCCTAGTTTTTACGTGTAAACCTATGAAAAATGAGTTATGAGGCCTCGGTTGGTCGGAAAATGCAAAAAAAATCAAAATTTATTGGCAGGGTGTCTCCGGATGCGGTGGCTCCGCTAGTTCTCTTCGCGACTAGGGTCCTTCTTCGGTTAACCTGCACCAGAGAAGGACGGTGAACATGGTGGTCAAAAAATAACTCAAAACGGAAAACAGAAAGGGGATCATCGAAGAGGGTTTTGGGTTTTGGCTGCAGCGGCTCGGTCAAGCTTTGCCTGCAATTTACGGCTCACTTATCAATCTTTTGTCTCCGATATGGACATTGGGAGACTCAGGATCGAATTTCGAGCAACAAAGAAGAAAAATTACCTATTTTGGCGTCAGCAATAGCTCCGGTGCGGACGGGGATGGCGGTCGATTTCTTTTTTGGTCACCCTTCTTCTTCTTCTCCAGCGAGGACTGGTGCGACTAGGGTTAGGGTTCCCTGAAACACAATGTTTAAATACTCTCCCTGAGTCGATATAGACCATCCGTGCTGAGACAAGTAGCTCTCTCTCGTCCGTTGGATCTTTCTTATTCATGGAATGAATATGGACCGTACAATCAGATTGAATCAGATTGTTTGATCGCGCCTGAATGCGAAATGTATCTGAGTCGTCCGAGCGCACGAGATGCAATCTTGACTGTTGGATCACCCAGGCACGCAGATTGCCTATGTGTCTCCTATGTAGAGCCGATGTTAGCGTCTCCGTCACGCGGTATGTTCTAGTTTGCTGTGGCTACTGACATAGTCGTCATACGTGGTTATATTTTTTTTTCTGCGATTTCACCCTTTGTTTTCAATTTTTTTTAAAAAACACTCCCCTTTATTTAAATTTTATTCATTTTCTCAGAATTATTTTTAATTTCGTCCCTAATTCGCTTTTTTCTCAAAAATCTAATAAAAATTAAATTAAAATAAAATTTAATTATATATATATTCTATAAGTTGGAAAAAATTATTCTTAGCCAAATATCAGACCCGAGTGTTACAATATAATCTTTTTAAAATAGATAAGAATCAGAAGATGGATACACAAATCAAAAAAATAAATTTACAATTGTTTCGTTGTATACTTAATCACTATTATGGAGAATCAATCAGTTATCATACATTATGCGTAATCACAAATAGTTATTACTGGTTCTCCATGTCCCGAACCCGGAATGACATACATGAATACCTTAAAATACGGCTACCCCCGAATACGGTTAAGACACGCAGATCAAACTGTTTTCTCATACACCCGAACACAGAACGATTATGTACAAGTATATACTTATCACTTTGTCAATACACCCGAACATGAAATGGTTATGTATGGCCACGTTAAAGCCAACATAATGCAAGTATTTTCAAAACAACTTCTTTTCATAATGAGTTATGCACACATATCAAAATCATATTTTGAAAACACAAAATGAAATAATACTTATATCAAAGTAAAACTTGAACAAACATTTATTTATCAAATACGAAAGACAGATTAAACACTTATATATTTTTATACTGAAAATACGTAAAATACTTTAAAATTATATAGGTTATGAATCCATAATATCCACTTACCTTAAATTCTTAGTAGTCGTAATCTTAATTTTAGCAAAGTTTCAATTTTATTTATCATCTTTCATCTCAAAACTCCAGCAGAGTTTTAGGATGATTTTTGGTCATTTTCTTAACTCAAAAATATCCAACACAATACTAAAAAACTAATCCCAAAAATCAAGCAGAAATCGAACTTCAAAACTTAAGAAAAGGCTTATCTTTCTAACAATTTATAATTTCTTTTTTATAGTGAGTCTTCTTCCTTTTCTTTTCCTCTTCTTCTACTCTCATAAATTTAGTAGAGTTCTCTCAAAGTTTTTATCTAAAATCTTAAAATACTCTTAAAAATCACACATTCCGTACTCTCTCTTCTTCCGTCACCTTTATGCTTTTCGTTATTTTTTTCTCATCCGGAATGTCTCTTCCTCCTTCATTCCCTATTTATAGGAGTGGGAAGCGACAAGAGAAAAGTTGTCACCATTCCGTTATATCATTTCATCTTAAAGTTACCACATTTTATTATGTCACTTCATCTAAAAGGTTATCATTTTTCACACGCCACTTTATTTAAAAAAATTTTTTACATGTCACTTTATTTAAAAGGTTATCACTTTTCACATGTCACTTTATTTAAAAAAAAATTCACATGTCACTTCATTTAAAATGTTACAACTTTTTATATGATATTTCATCTAAAAATTATCACTTTATGTGATGTTATTTCATCTAAAAGTTACTATTTTTCACTGCTAAAAGTTGTCACTTTTCGTTATGTTATTTTATTTAAAAGTTACAATTTTTCATTTTATCAGTTCATTTAAAAGTTTCCACATTTTTTAATGCATCTACATGCTTATTCTACCTCCTTCATCCTTATCCATTATTTTTCTATTTGATTTTAAATTGTGTCTTTAATCTTAATATATATTTCTAAACATATATAAAGACTAAATTAAATATATCAAATATAAAAAATTACTTCGGAGGTATTTTCAAGCTATCATATTTACTTATTATAATTTTCTAAATTATTTTAAACTCTATGTTTTTTATAAAATAGGAAAAGTTGTTT